AATGTGTTACAATTATCACAACTAATCTGATTACACATAAATAGATTGAATGTGTTACAATTATCACATCTAATCTGATAATAAATGTAAGAGCATAACTGGCAAGCAAATCATTCCATATCAAAAAATATCAAAACATCAGAGGATAGATTATATTATAGAATCTAGTACAAGTTAGAAAACTATAAATACAAGGAAGGGAAAAATAAGATCCTTCATGTGATTGTAGTTACATTTCAAATGACTTTAAAATTACATCAGTGATAATACTTATATCAAGGATAAACAAAGTTTAATTGTAAGGAGTTATACAGTTTAAATACATACTTTTGGGAATAATATGAGAAAAACACCAACTAAAACAAATATCAACTATAATTTCACAACAGTGTATCAGTCGATCATCAATTCATCAGGAAAACAAGTAAAAATACCCATAATGAAGGTTGCCCTCTACTTCTGAGAAAAAGAATTTAGGCCCAATATTAAATAAAATAAGAAAACACAAACTATGTTTTAACTACAATGACTATATCAAACAAAATATTCAATAACTTAGTGTTAAAATATTTTAATGCTTACCTTAAGCTGTTTTGGTAAGTTATCTGCCACACTCTCTAGAAGAGACTGAGTGGGTTTTTCATTACACATCACAACTAACTGCACATTCAAGTCTCCAGTTAATATAAGACCTTTAGCAAGCACTCCAATTCTCATTACTCCCTTCAATACTCGAGAACACTGGGTTTTTTCCTTTACATCTTTGCTGTAGTAAAAATTATAATAACAGCTTAGAACTGGTGGTTTCAACATTTACCACCTCTGTGTATTTTAGTAGTTTTTAAGATATATTCTGACATATTATTATTGTAGACACTGTGTTTACACATCTTCTAGTTGGATAAGCTTTTACTCAAATTTCACAGATTTTCTTTTAAAAAACATTATTTTTGCTTTAACATCAAAAGAAACTCTACGGCAAATGTTAATTAAAAACATTAAACTGAAATAACTAACTTGATTTGCTAACAAAACAAGATAAACAGTTGGGACATACACTTTAACATTTTTTTCTATGCTTTAATAATACATAAATATATCAATGAAAAAACTTCTATTGTTGCTTTTTTAGAATTGCAATATGATCACAAAATATGAAATTAGTTCTTTCAGATAAATAATAATAAAACTTTTCTATAAAAAGAATAAAAGCACTGTAAAGATAAACTCAACAAAATTTTTGTATATTCAAACTATTATTTCGATAGAGAAAAAATAAGAAATTTGTTTAACTTCACACCTATCTTCTGTGGTTTTGTTTGATGATTGAGGACTAACGTCTTGAGGACTGACATCTTGCTTAGGTCCATCGCTAAAAAAAAAGACAATAAAAAATTAATAAATTTCTACTTATCCTAGCCTTTGATTTGTTTTTCAGAACAAAAATCTGGTACACTTAATTATTACTTGTTCTTACAAAACTATCAGATATTACTGTACACATACTTAGTTTGACTGAGAAGTCTCGTTGTAAAGTGCGTGTCAGTTCTAGGTTCTTTTTAAAGTCATATTGACAAAGTAAATTACACAACTAACACAGAAAACCTATCAAATGGTATTTTGTAATAGGTTAAAAGCAATTCAGTATATATTAAAGGTGTGTGGCAATACAGCGACAGGATACGAGTATTATATTGAGAAGCCGTGATATGATTTTATTGAAACATCGTCTAATACGATACGATTTATGAATGGTCACGAAATTTGGCAAGCTTTCACTAAACATTATAAGTTTTTTCTACAAAAAAAAACAACAAACAAACAAAAAAAAAAAAACAGAATTTCTAATAAAGTATTTTTGCTAAAATTTAATGATTCAATAAAGGAAGATGAGCATTGAGTACCACATGTTGTATTCATTTCTTTTATCAAAAATGTTACATGCAAAGTAACATAACAAATTAACAATAATCAAATAGACATATATTAACTTTCATTTTACTTCTCTTGCCAGCTGCCATTTAGTTGATCAAACCTGAGAATTTGAAAAACCACTGTAAAGTGTTAAGTACTTAAATAAGACAATGTTAGTAATATAGATAATAAATTACAGACAGGACTGTCAAACTTTGTAACAAAACATTGGTAAAACTTCTGTATCTAGATACGTATCGTATCACGACATCAACATCTAAATACGTATTGTATCGACTACTATGATGAGATACCCACCACCTAGTGTGTGTGCGTATAAACTATTTCTTCCAAATTAATGCCTTTAAAACCTTTTTAAATCATACTATTTACTAAAGTTATGAAAATATGTTGTGGGAATTATGTACAATATATTTATATAAAAGTTATTTTTCATCAATTCAATGTAATACTTTTACTAAAAACTTTGACAAATATCTGAAATAAAACGTTTTAAACACACACACAAAATAATGAAATTTTAACACCAAAAGTATCTCTCAATCCATGCAATAGTCACAAACTGAAACTAATCAGAGAACAAGTTTAGAACCAAATGGTCACAAGGCAACAAAAGAGGATAGCTCTTGTAACCACAATCTGTTATACAATTTGTATTACAAAAACACAGATAATACTATTATACATTGAAGTGCTGATCTGGACACGTCCCTCTGAAGGCTGAATAATCGTTGCTACTTTCACAAAAATGGTTCTTTTAAATTCACAACAACGTAAACTCTGTCTACAACAGAAACACTTTATGTACATACCTTTCCCTCAGGAAGTCTGAGACCATCTTTAATGCTTTCTCTGTAGTTGTAACAGCTTTCTGCACTGCATTCAGCTCTTCTTCCTTCGGGTATATGCTTGCATGCTTAGCCATAACGTGTTTGTCGACTGAGGTAACTGAACGTTTAGGAGCGGGCTGGAAATTTATATTAAAAATATTAAGTGCAAACTGTTAAGAAAATAAGCTTCTATTATGCTAGTATTAGAAAAAACCTCATTACATGCAATATTGAACTTGTTTTCTGCAGTTTTAAATTCTTTTATGAAACTTGAGCATAACTATTTTGTAGAAATTAGATCCAATATTATTAACTCTTTCAGCACGGGCTTGGTCCTTGGGACCGACCTCGTAACCATTTTGTACTTGTTATAGTTTTCATGCTATATTTTTTAAATTAGTAAACGAATATTTACGAAATTTGGCAGATTATCAGTAAACAATGCTTCCATATGCAAGATAACAAATTCTTTTATTAAGTCTTAAGGTTTGTAAAACAATATTTTTCTGGTGTCTTTTTTTTCTTTTCACATGTTGCCTATCCATCATACAAAATAATTTTCATTTTAAGATTAAAAATATTTTTATGCATCAGAAAATTTTCAAATTCCACAAACAAAATCTTTATAATGTCCAGATAGTTACCAAATGTTTCTTAAGAACAACTTTACATTTTATCTGTTATTTTGAATAATTAATCTCTGTACGGGTTCAGTAGATTTGACCAATTTGGTAACCACCATAACAAATTAGGAAATAAATCCAACTTATTCCTCCTTTCATTCTAGAATGAACACAAATTATAACATGAAAACATGTTTAGATGAAATAGCTTAAATCTCATAACATTATACATTTATTTATATTTATCATTTTTATTATATTGACCTTTCGGCCCTGCCTAGCTAACAATACAGAAGTTACAATGACGCAGCTCATGTGCACTCATGTTACCGTATCAAATAACATAAAACTGACCATTATCTTGGCTGTGTTTTAGTAGACTAATATTTTGTAAAATACAGTCCCATTTCAATTATTATACATTATATATATGTATACAGATTATTGCTATTTTGAAATAAGTTCTTAAACTTACTTTTCTTTAAACATGAACTGTAAATAAAGAAGTAAAGCAAACAATTATCTCTTCTAGTTATGACCTTTGTACTCAGTTGCTGCTTGACATAGGTTGCTAAGCCTTTAAATATTTTGCACATGGAGGATATGAAACAATTATTGTTTTTAGGTTTTATATGTACATTTGAATAACTAAAAAATAATAAATTAAAACATTAATACCATAGAACTCCACTATAATTTATCAAGCTTAGTAACTAAGATGTATTTTTGTCTAAAAAAAAAATGAAATTTCAAGCAGAATAAAGACACACACTATCTCCTCAAAATATTGGTTCAAAAGAAAGAAATGGTGTCCAAGCCCATTAAAATGGCTGAGAAAGCTACTAGGAAGACATTCTGAGCTTTCAATTGGTTATTCTTGTCATATATATAGAAGTGTATGTAATGGAACGTTTCTAAAAATGCAAAGAGGTGGGTGGGGTGCCACTGTGTTTGTTTTTTTACATGAGCAATATCTTACCAAACTGAAAAGAGGCTCTTATTTTATAATCTAGCTTGTCAATATCAGTAATTTGAGTTTCTAATTCGTACGAAACTATAGACTTAACAAACATCTAATTTGAACCAGTGCTGCACTCAACATACCACGTGACACACAAAAATCGATGTTTATCTGTTTTTTAATATTTATTTTTAAATTAAGAAATTGGGTAACATATAGTAGAATTTATGTCAGTAAGTTTGGTATCAAACTGTAGATTATAATTCAGATTTTAGGAAAATAGTAGTTCAATAAAATTTTGAATGCGAAGTCAACAAACACGACGACATGGTCTTCAACCCGTGACCTGTTTGGAAAGGGTTAATTAGGCCATAATATGGTGCACTTGCAATGCAAGCTTACTGTACATATTATAGCATAAGATAGATGTACATAAACAAAGAGATTTTCTTTTTTATTTAGAAACATGATTACTGTTCAGTATAATGCATTTCTTAACTACATGCAAATGTTTTATTTCATTTATATGGATAATGTGCAAAATAGAAACTACAGTACGACCTTGACATTAAGGGCACCATTTCGACTGCATCCATATGCCCTCTATAGCAAGGTGCCCTTAATATAAAAATAGCCATACAAAGCTGGATTCCATATTGACGGTACTAAATTTCTGAATTTTAAGACCCTCATTTTGTTTAGTGCATGCAAGACACGGGTGTTTATCCATGTCGTCATTACACGGAGCATTGTCAACAGGAGTTCTTAGGGAGTGGATTAGCTGTGACCTTTTTCATTATTACTGATCACAAAGTCTCAAAGTACTTCTCTTCAGAGTTTGAACTGCTAAACATTTCACATTTATTTTCTGTGTATATTTTACTGTCAATGAAGACACAAGACATGGAGATTGGGATGTATGATGTGGGACTGAGGTTGACAAAGAAAGAGGGAGAAAGTAGAAGAGGGACAGGTAGTGATAGGAAACCAAGACTGAGCTGGCCAATAGGGAGCAATCAGGAGGACCTGACAAGGAGTGGAGTGGACAAGAGAAATCACCTAATGAAGTAATCGGATGGGAGGGTACACAAAGATATTTGTTTGACTAATCCTGGCTGAAGGCATCAATCGCCAAAGTCAGTGGATGTGGTACAGGTGACCAAAAGGGGGGAAGCTTGTATTGTGGCCAGTTGTAAATGCATCCAATTGTGGAAAAACCCCACTGATGACAAAGATTTCTGAAAACAAGTGGATCTAATGCTCACTCCATTGGATATATTTCATCGGAATGCAAAAGACAATCCACAACGAGATTGAAACCATGGCATGTGACATGCGATAAGGTGAATGTGATGTGCATGGGCCCAGTATAATACATCAAACATCCAAAAACATATATCTCTGGACCGGGTTCCACCTTGGTGGTTGATATGTACCACCACAATAGAATTGTCCGAATGAACCATCACCAGACAATGATGGGCGAGAAGAAGGAAGTGATGTAACACATGATGTACTGCTAGAAGTTCGAGAACATTGATATGCAAGATTGCTTTGTCTACAGACCAATGGCCCAAAGCTTCTTGGTGATTGATCCATGCTACCAACCCTGATGGGATATGTCTATGAAAAAGTTTAAATCCGTACGTGGGGGAGGAAGCAACACACCTGCCGACATATATGCTTTGTCCAGCCACCAATACAAATTTTCTTGTAGGGAAGTAGTAAGGGAAATGGGGTGGAAAGAGGATCCCAAGTAAGGTTCCATTGTTTGTGAGGCACCCACTAAAGGGATCTCATATAGGCACAACCGAGAGGAACCAATGCAGTCATGGAGGACCACATTCCCAAGAGCAATAGAACCTGTGACTGAGCCGAGAGGGCGTGGTGAACCAAAAGTTCTATAGAACGAAGAAGTGAGGGAGAAGGCAGAGCGCAACTGATATTTGTTTCGAAGAAGAAGACCCCCAAATGGACTACATATTGAGTGGGTCGAAGAAAGGACTTCTCCAATTTAATCAACCAGCCCACCTGAACTGCCACAGAAAGGAGCTGGTGAGTATGAGTGGCCAGTTCCTGTTCAGAATGAGGCAATCATCCATTTAATAATGAAATTGCATCCCCAAAGCATGGAGATGATGTGCATGGACTATGCAACAAAACAAATAAAGAGCTGTGGCAATTTTGAAGGGGGTATGTCCAAAATTGGTAAACCACCCTGAGATGGACAAATCAAAAGTAAAGTTGAGACCGATGTGCTATCGGGATGTGGAGGTAAGCAGACATCCATCTTCATCATCCACAACCCTGGAGAAAATGACCATCTTAGGGTGAGGAATGAATCCATGGTGAACTTGGTGAGTACAATGAAGTGGTTTAGGTGAAATAAATCAATGACTGGCTGCCAATTCCTGGTTTTCTTGGAGACAACAAAAAGACAGGAATAAAAAACCCAGAAGGATGGCATACCAGTTCGATTGCCTGCTACAAAAGCAACTCTCGAACCACCCCTGACGGATGCTGACAAGTCACAGGATCTCAAGAGGAGGGAAGGAAATGGGGCAAGAAGAAATGGGAGGTGGGGAATGAAACTGGATAACAAATCCATAATAGTCGAGCTCCCACCAGACCTGAACCCACAGGGTAGTCACCAGTACTGTTGGCGATAGAAATAGGTAAGAGTTGGGAGGATGAAGGATGGGAAACGAGAATAAGAGTTAGGAGGTAGGGAGTTTCTAATTTATATGAAACTATAGACTTGGCATTTTGACTTCACTAACATCTAATTTGAACCAGTGCTGCATTCAACATACCACGTGATACAAAAAAATTGATGTTTATCTGCATTTGTTTTATATTTGCTTTTAAATTAAGAAACTGAGTAACATATAGTACTAAAATTTGAATTATAATCTACAGTTTGATACCAAACTTATTAACATAAGTTCATGAAACAGTAGTTCAATAAAATTTTGATTGCGAGTCAACAAACAAGATGACATGGCCTTTCACCTGTGGCCCATATCGAAATGGTTAAGAGATGACATATGATGATTTATGAGACACACGTTGGAATTTAGTAATTCCAACAGGATGGGGGGAGCGGAATGATTGTGGCATGCATAAAGAAAAAGTTTGCATATAGAAGGCAGCACTGAATGAGAATAGCTAATCTTGTGAGTAGAGATAAGTATCGTATCAGAAGATAAATGGCAGCTTTATCGAGTACTAGTATAGAGAATGAGACTAAATACACTGTTCATAATCTGGAATATCAAGGTGTCCATTATTGCAAGATTTATTTTGGTTACAAATAGTAGAAAAAAAGAGACTGTAAAGGTCTGCCCTTAATGATGCTGTGCCCGTTAACCGAGGTTCTACTGTAGTAGTTATGGTGGTGCAACAGTAAATTATTCAAACCAGTACTATGAAAGTCTCAAACTTTCAATCAGTAATGAGTTACAAACCTTCTAAGTTAAAGTCTACCCTTCATTATAGACCTCATCCTTTATATAATGAAATATGAGTAATAACCATAAATATAATAACTACTTGGTTTCTTTTTCAGCTTTATTGTGATATTACTTGAAATACTCATTGCAAAATGTAAATAAACTCCTACAAAAAAGGAGAGAAAGAGAGAATACAATACGACTCCAGCACTCTTCTGTGTAACACTATGACTGGGCATTTTAAGCATACATACACACACGGTGATACATGCATTATTCCTCACATTTATTATTATTGTATGTCAATAATCTGTGTACAACCAAACTTAATAAAAAATAACCTGAACTGAAATAATGTGATTTCCAGGATGTAGATTTAAGTTACTTGTTCTTGGTACAACAACAAAACAAATATTTGCTTGCACTGAACAGTATGAAGTTTAATGATAATCAAAAAAACCTAACTTACTTGAACTTCTGGACTACTTAACAGATATTTGTTGACAAATACCATTGAAATAGAAGTTACCCTAGCAAAAAAAAAAAAGAATAGTGGAAACAATGACATAAACAATTGATTCAAACAGAAATCTTGCAATCGCAAGTTAAAAAAAGAAAATTGATTTTTATGCATCCATGGAGTCTGCTAAGCATAACCTACTAAAGTCTGAAGAAGTGACCTGATTCTGATTAAAATATACGTATAGTTTTTCCAACTGAATTTTGAAACCTTTGAATATATAGGGCACTGGTTTAAAGATAACATTGAAAGCCTTGTGTTCCTGTCCCAGTCAGAACAGATTGTTTTTCTCCAATTTCTTTCATTAAAATATTTTAACATTTCTTTATAAACCAAAATTTGCATCCAGTTGGTGATCACTTGTCTTAGCCTTTGTTCATCAGCATTTGCAAGTAAATATTTTAAGACTTTTATCTTTTAAATCTTTCATTTTTCAGAAGACATATTAATACAATGACATTTAATTTTCCTGAAAAAATTATTCATTTCTGATTTTAAAAACTGTCAATAATCTTAAACAATGCCTATTGAAATATATGCAAAAAAGAGTCTCTTGAAAAATAAAATAACTATTGAAATATAATGTTTTTAAAGGTTATAGAAGTAGCATCACTTTGGGCATCTATAGCAGTTTATGTTTGCCATACAAGATTTTGATCATTGTTAAATTCCTTTGTTGTTAACAATGTTACAACAGGATTAAAAGTCCCCACATGTAAAACTAGTGTCCTGCTACATACAGTACTTGGCTATGATGAAGTACTTCCAAAGTTGGGAGGTTAGTAGAATTTGCCAATTGATTAATCGTAGGGCTCATTAACTGATTACATTCAACCAAATGATTATTCACATGAGATAGCTAGAAAAAAAACAAAGATAAGGTTTCAATACCTGCAGATCACAGATAGCCAATTCTGTAGCTTTGTGCTTTATGATAAGCACACATAATGGCAATATTTTGGTTACTTGAATAATTGGAAATAGTAATAATTAGAATTCTAATTTTAATCAATTGATTCTTGAGCCACAACACTAATCAATTAACCTGAACAAACCTGAATCAATCAACAATAATAATGAAAAACCACAATGGCAATATTTAAATTACTGGATAGTTGGAATAGCTGGAAATACTAATTTAGATTAAGTATTTTCATGACATTAATAAATCTAATCATACTTTAAATTAATTGATTATTTTTCTTGACACCAATTGGTATAATCAATGCCCATAGACAATCCGTTATATTGGTTAATCAAGTTAATTACCCAAATCTAATTACTACCATTCTTATGTTGAATGTGTAGATTTCTGGAACTCACACCAAGTTTTGGGACCTATGCAAGATTGAAATACTAGAAAAAATAAGGAAACCCAGTCACCGATAACAAAGTACAATATACTAGCAAAAGTATAAGTACCATTTAAAAAGTGTGTGCAGGTAAGATAAATGTGAATAAAACAAAAGTTCTACTGGTAAAATTGACAACTCACTAAGTTTCACTAAACTTAAAATGCTCTGTATTCACTCCAATTTTGTGCAACTCTATTTGTGCTGATATTAATAAATGTACTATAATTATGTTCAAAATAACATTATTACATCTTTCATTAGCATATCTAGCTATTTCACTTTAACAGCTATGATTTTGATCCTCAAGGGTATAGTTTATAGATAGACTACAGAGCAAACTTGACAGAAAATAAATTTATTTCTAAACTGTTCTCCTTGTCTTATGATTAAAGATATTAAATAATACAACAGTAATGTAAGATTTTAATGTTGCACATCTTAAAGACTAGTGAAAACAACAATTTAAAATGAAAGGTCTAAAAACTCAAGGAAATTCAATGAGAACCAAACGGACATATTTAACTTACCAATAAGCAGAAACAACAGCTGCTATATGAATATATTTTGTAATCAGCCTCTGAGGCTGTTCTTCGGTAACTTCCATTTTCAACATGTGGTATTTGGACATTTGAATCACTAGAGAAATTAAAAATTTATATGATCATTTTACAGCTATTAACTGGCCACACTAATTTTATGATTACAACAAAGATAAATTATTAACACACATCAACTCATTGGGTTAAACATTCCTATAGTATTAACACACATCAACTCATTGGGTTAAACATTCCTATAGTATTAACACACATCAACTTGTTGGGTTAAATGCTCCTATAGTATTAACACACATGAACTTGTTGGGTTAAACGTTCCTATAGTATTAATTAAGAATTAACTTATTCAGATACATGCCAATCTAAACTCATTTCAGCATGTTTATGTTTTCTTAAAACCTGTAAACCAAAATGATAAACAGTACTTTAAATGTAATAGGATGAGAAACCTGTAGAATCAATAGCCATTTAGTCCAAAAGCAAAGGTTTTCTACAAACCTACATACACAATTCATCTTTTTCAATATGACCAACCACTTCATGAAAAGCATCAAACTCCTTTTCATAATCACACCCATATTCCATTAAATTTTGACTTCTACAAACAAAAAAGGTTTCTAACAAATCTCTGCTGTCATCATGTCTAATTAAACCAACCCTAGTCTACAAGTATTTTTCACTTAATAATAAAATTTATCGCTGGGTTTTTTTTCCTTTGCTATTGCTTTATGAAGATTACCACTTATATAAAAAACTCCACATTACAAAGTAAGAAGCTTAAAATCGTAAACTTTCAATCAAGGTTCTACTGCCAGTTTTTGAGTATTTATTTTCAGCTAAAATTATCTTAGTTTCCCCTTTGCTAAACCCTTTCTATGTGGTTATTACTGACTTTAAGAGTAGCCAAAACAAAATAAACCAGGTATATTTTTCTTTTGAAGATATACAAAAACTGTTTTCAGCTCTGACTAGTTTTGTAGCCACTTTTAAATTTAGATCTTTCTAGAAACTTAAAAACTGTAATGTTCTTCACAAAACAAAACCAATCTTTTAAAGTTTCTGACTCCAATTACTTGACTTTGAACTTTGTAAAGTTTTTAATTAAATGCCAATTCAAGGCTTTAAACAGTTTTAAAGAAAAGCAACTCTTAGTAAAAAATATTTGCCACAACTAGCCTTAACTGCAATAACTTGGAATGAAGGCACTATAAACAGATTTTTAATCCATTGACTGCAAACACAAGTTTTTTGCTGTTCCTGGAGGTCACTCTAACTGTAATTTTTCTGCTGCTTTTTGTATAAATGGATGTCCCTATAGTATCCTTTATACTATAAAGCATCTTTAATCTAGATAAGATAACCTGGTTTCAGCAATATATAAAATACATTTCTGTGATGTCAAGACCATCACAGATTTTGATGTGAAGAACATTACAGGTTGTAACACATGAAGAGCATTAATGATTCTGACATGTGAAGAACATTATAGCTTGTGACACATGAAGTACATTATAGGTTATGATGTGGAAAAAACATTACAGGTTATGATGTGAAAAAACATTACAGGTTGTGAAATGTGAAGAATATTACGGGTTCTGATGTATGAAGAACATTACAATTTACAGGTTCTGACACATGAAGAACATTATAGCTTGTGACACATGAGGTACATTACAGGTTATGATGTGGAAAAAACATTACAGGTTATGATGTGAAAAAACATTACAGGCTGTGAAATGTGAAGAATATTATGGGTTCTGACGTATGAAGAACATTACAATTTACAGGTTCTGACACATGAAGAAT